CCACACTCCGTTGAATGACTGAAGCGGACTCTCTCGCGCACGACACCTACAGTGAACTTTATACTACAGACACAAGAGGGGGTTTCTCGATATACCCTCCATTCTACCTCGATCCAACCGGGTATTTTATAGACACTCCGACACGGCCATCCTGACGTACGACCGTCCTCGGGCGTGTATCTTTATGCATTCCTGTAACAAACAACAATTCGTCCGCTCGTCCATCCTGACATGAGTGGGTACACATTATTAGTTCGCAAAACCAATTGTTAGATGGCGCTGCTTGTTTCACTATGACGCCATCAATCCATGACATGACCATTCCTGACTAGCATCCGTCCTCGGTTGCAGTGCCTGGAGACAAAATATGCTCAGTGATTAATCTAGCTCGGCTATTCTGCCAATAGAAACAGGGTTGATTCAAAACAGTACTTCACTTTTCCCAATTCTAAGTACAATATTCAACTGTCATAATTGACAATGCCTTGTTATTAAGGCTTCTTACACAGTGCTTCCTGCACAACATGATTTATCGTGGAAGGTCCGATCAACAAGTTCCAATACAGTAATTTTAACAATTTTGTTAGTCCTTAACATAATTCATAAGCAATGCATATTCAAATCGTGAAACTTTCATTAAAATCTGTGCACCAACACAGACCAGAATCGCACCAACGATTCTTTACATATCCGCCGTCACATATGCCAGAATCGCACCAACGATTCTCCACATATCTGCCGTCACATATGCTACAATACACGAGAGGCTCTGTGCACCAACACAGACCAGAATCGCACCAACGATTCTTTACATATCTGCCGTTACATATGCCAGAATCGCACCAACGGTTCTCCACATATCCACCGCCAAATATGCTACAACACATCTGCCGCCACATATGCCAGAATCGCACCAACGATTCCCTACATATCTGCTGCCAAATATGCACCAACACAGACAGAAATCGCACCAACGATTTCCTACAGACCCATCGCCACATGTTACTCATGAGGTGCGGTCTAAAGTTTTGAGTATGAGTATACAAGTATTCTTAATCAGATTTGGTTTCACTACCACTGTCATCAACTATGACATCTAACTCTCAAGGAACTTGGTGATCGGAGATCTTCCTCACATGATTATGGGGGTATTTGTGGGGTACTTTGCACACTAACATGACCGATTTCGGTTAAATTTACAATATTTTTTACACTTTTGCCACAAAATTTTGGCGCAACACAATCTTTGATGAGGCTCTCTCATTTGGCACCAGTTATCATCAGCACACCGCTGTGATTTCTCACATAGCAGACGAAAACACATCGATCACTGCTCGCCGCTGCGGCAAGCATAGGGCTAGCGCACGTGGCTACTAAAACAACAGCTCACACCATAATTAGCTGCCTTGAAGCAAGCTCATGTGGTCAAAACAACAGCACAGGGCGTGCCGCACTCGCACAGCGAGCCGTCGCATCTGACCAGCGCCAGCGAGACGCTGCACCGTACCCCGCACTCGAAGCGTTAACGGGAGCAGCAGGAGCACCTGAGGGTTCACAGGCATCGTCGGGGTTGCCGTCATCGGGATCTGCGTTAAAAACAAGTTGTTAGTTGTCAGGACAACATACACAGTTGCCTATCCTCTTATCCATCACGCATACGAGGCCCTCAAATAGAAATACGCTCTCATACCGTGGACTATAATAAAACACTTCGCTTTCACAAGCAAGCATACATCTCCATACGAAGTATCTCACACATACTCTTGAACTTGCGAGATCCCACGTTAACCACGTGAACCACGTTAAAAACGTGGACCAGGACAGCGCCTGCCAGGACAGAGCCTGATACGTGTTTAGAAAACACTACTGCGCACACAGAGTATACGACTTCCGCGCACACAGTGGATGACTTCCGCGCATACAGAGTACATGACTTCAGAGGCATCGTCATGTATAGCATACACGCGCTCCGGGAAATCACCCGTCACGCGTACAGCATACGCGTGTGCTGAAGCCAGGCCATGCTACATCTGGACCTGGCAGTCCGTTCCGACCAGGCAAGGCACAAAATCGCCTCACAGTCACATCACACGTGCTGCTGTAACATAAAAGAAAACACTAAAGAGATTCAGTCTGAACTTAATTTTAAAAAATGCAGTCCAACTCTCGGGACACCATTTGCCTTTCCAGGGCACCATATACTGAGCTACGGCTACACGACAACCTCTGGTATGGTCCGAACCTGATGTAAATTTAAATACTCTCTTCAATGTCGGAACTATTATCTTATGTCGGAACTTCGTCAATTATACTTTGGTTTTCCAGCATTTTTCGCAACCAATTAAAAAGTTAAACACTCATTCTTACAAAATAGTTTCAAAGACAATGTTTAGGATAAATTTACTTTCCTCATGTATCTCATGGTGATTGATAGCAGTGGTAATTAATGTGTCCGCAGCGTCATATGCTCACAGCATACTTCCGCTCAAAAGCGAGAGCAACAGCACACGCCTTCCACTAAACTCTCAACATCAAATCCCAATTTTGTCGACTACGTAATACTCGGAGTAAACTGTAACACTTATCATCACATTAGAACACAATAATTTAAAATTAAAAATTTTGTACAGCCGACTTCAATATAAGTTATTTAAGAATAACTTAAAAACTATTGGTCTGACCTTGATCAAATTCATATGAGACCACACGAGAAGTACCAGCTTTCAAATAAAAAAAGAATCATCGAAATCGGTTCACCCAGAAAAAGTTCTGAGGTAACACACATAAAAAAAAAACGAAATAATTTAAAATTAAAAATTTTGTACAGCCGACTTCAATATAAGTTATTTAAGAATAACTTAAAAACTATTGGTCTGACCTTGATCAAATTCATATGGGACCACACGAGAAGTACCAGCTTTCAAATAAAAAAAGAATCATCGAAATCGGTTCACCCAGAAAAAAGTTCTGAAGTAACACACATAAAAAAAAAAAAAACGAAAAAAAAACATACAGTCGAATTGAGTACCGGCTCCTTTTTGGAAGTCGGCAGAAAAAAAACATACAGTCGAATTGAGTACCGGCTCCTTTTTGGAAGTCGGCAGAAAAATACTACTTAGTGTTTTTAATTCATAGCACGTTAAAGTTAAACTTTTTTTTTCGGTACATCGTTTAAACATTTCGAACTTTAAAACTAGCCCATGTAAATCACATCTCGTGTATCAAATTATAACATAACTTGAGCAAGTTAAACTTCCACTGAATGCAAACTATAACTCATTTAGAATACCTTCAACATTTCTTTCGACTTAAGAAATAATGAAAGTACTTGCGGGTACTTTTTATTATAAACCGAACAAAAAGATTTAACTTTTGGCTTAAAACATTTTACTTTCAACTTTTACTCTACACTTTAATGGTACGTCAAAGTCGTAAATAGTACAAAAAAACTTCATTAAGACATTTTACATCAAAACATAACGCGAGGCGCGTCATAGTCTTTCACCAACGTAATAACCCTCACACTATTCGAAGGTTAAATGTGGACGATAACAGGGACTTTATCCCACTTCTGATATCGGAAACGACAACAGGAGATCCCACTTCTGATGTCGGAGATTACAATAGAGGATTCCAATTTTGATCTTGGAAATACATCAGGATAGCGTTAACTGTTAAAAATAATAAAAGTGTGAGAGCGGATGTTCAACTTGCTCTCTTGCTTACGCAGTTTAATCGTTATCAGTAATAAGACAACGTAACGCACTATACATTCAGTATAGTGAAATTACAGTTCGACCACACCGTAATACGTCTCAGCCACAATCAAACACCAGTGTAACGTGGGGTACGTAATTACATGATAACACCAAAATATGTACAGCAACAGCAACACTACTTATCTCAATGTAACACAGGGCAGCCTCTCAGCAACACCAATCCTCCTTGCCTGTACTAGAAGAATTACCACAATGAACAGAACCACGACAATATCTTAGCACTAAGTAGAATGACCACACTCCGTTGAATGACTGAAGCGGACTATCTCGCGCACGGCACCTACAGTGAACTTTATACTACAGACACAAGAGGGGGTTTCTCGATATACCCTCCATTCTACCTCGATCCAACCGGGTATTTTACAGACACTCCGACATATACATATATACCTGTATTATTTTATTTTAAAATCTCATGAATGTTAAGCATCAGAGTAACAATGAAACACCCCAATACAAATTAAATTACTCTCTGGGGTTGTTTCACCACTAATTTATAATAACGTCTTGTAGCGGGTGGAAGGAACAGGGGAGATCTCCCGCCGGGCAAGGTGTTCTGCCCGGGGAGCGGCCAGCGCTCCGATTGGTAGTTCGGAGCTATTCTATATATCCTGCTTTAATTTCGGAACTTTGATAGCGCGATTTATGCTTCGATGTGTTTCGCTTCTGGCGCGACGACAGCGCCGCCACATCACCCCCCTGCTCAGACCGGAGGTCGATAGTGCAGTCCGATTGCCGGTGCGTCCTTAATGCCGGTGGGGAATGCATGCTGTGTTCGTAAGGGCAAGTGACGCCGGTGCGAATGATATGCCGGTGTGTAATGCATGCCGTACACGCATTTGCAAGTGATGCCGGTGAGAACGATGAGCCGGAGCAAGTGCCAGGGATTGCCTTGTAGTCTGCGGTGAGTCGAGAAGAAGGCAAGTAATCTGCGAGAGTGCCGTGAAGCAGAGGCGAGCAGTAAGGCTCAGAGCCGTGCCGAACACTGTAGCGCAGAGAGTAGTTTGAAGGAACAGGAAGCATTATTATTCCAGTGCTGCGATGAACCTTTTTATAAAGCTAGATGGCTTGCAGAATGTGAAGACTGCAGACAATGTCTGCTCGGGAGCGAATGAATGGGGTACATGAGTAAGATGACGAAGTTTTTTGAAATTGTAGTTTCCGAAGATTGTTGGTTGCGTGTTCATATCACTCCCACATCACTCCCCTACCGAGACCGGTTTACGGTCGATAGTAGTCCGGGAATCGGACAGTTCTCCCACTTCGCGTCTTCTTTTCTGTTGATAGCTGTAAGGGGCGCGGGCGTTCAGGTAAGGTAGTCATCATTGGAGCCTGATCCTTCTTATCGTCGAGGATGTCGTGTGTCGCCAGGTATGCTGGTTTAATTCTGTCTACTGTAACAGTGGTTTCTTTACCTTGTATTAGTATTTTAAATGTTTTAGTGCCTCGAGCCACGACTTTGTATGGTCCTGTATATGGCGATTGTAGCGGTCGTTTCTCTGGGCCACGGCGCAGAAATATGAATTTGGATGTCCAGAAGTCTTTAGGTAAATAAAATGATTTATTTTTATTATGGTTTGACGCTGGTACTGGAGCCAAATCGACAGTATGTCTACGCAGGCGTTCAACGTAGTCTGACGGATCTGAGGTTAGCTTCGTTGATGGCATGAAGAATTCTCCTGGTAGTCTAATAGGTTCACCATATACAATTTCTGCTGCCGACGCGGTTAGGTCTTCTTTCCACGCTGCACGCATTCCCAAGAGCACTAATGGAAGTGCTTCAGTCCATTGAGGTGTGTTGCGACATGTGATTGCTGCTTTTAGTTGGCGATGAAGCCTCTCCACCATTCCATTGCACTGTGGATGGTATGACGTGGTGGGGCGGTGTTCTGAGCCAATGAGTTTTGTCAGGCTTTGAAAAAGATGTGACTGAAATTGCTGACCTCTGTCCGTAATTATTGTTTCCGGGCAGCCAAAACGTGACACCCAGCCGGGGACGAAAGCTTTGGCGCAAGACTCAGCAGTTATGTCTGGTAATGGGTAGACCTCTGGCCAGCGAGTGAAACGGTCGATAGCAGTTAAGCAGTACCTGAAACCATTACAATATGGCAAAGGGCCAATTAAGTCAATGTGGACTTGGGAAAAACGTTTTGAAGGAATGGGGAAATTGGACAATGGAGCGGAAGTGTGACGGGTTACTTTAGATAGTTGGCAATCTGTGCACTGTTTGGTCCAAATTTTGCAGTCACGTTTTATACGAGGCCACACAAATCTTTCTGTGATTAGCTTAGTCGTTGCTGCGGTGCCTGGGTGACTTAGTTCATGCATCTTTTGAAAGACTTGTTTACGGAACTTTGGCGTAATGTAAGGACGATTTTTTCCAGTTGATACGTCGCAATAGAGATTGCTATTTGGTAATTTCTCTATTCTAAGACCTGTCCCGTTTTTCAGTAAACCTTGCAGTTCAAGGTCGATCTCCTGATCTCGTGCAAGGGCTTCATAATTTATTGCTTCCGTGATTTCGTCTATTCTTGAAAGTGCGTCGGCGACAACGTTCTCTTTACCCGCAATATGTCTGATATCTGTGGTGAATTGTGATATATAATCTAAATATCTGTATTGCCGTGGTGAACAATTATCCCTTCTTGTTTTGAAAGCGTATGAAATTGGTTTATGGTCTGTATAAATGGCAAAGTTCCTAGCTTCCAGCATATATTTAAAATGTTTTATCGCTACGTAAATAGCTAGGAGTTCCCTATCGTAAGGGCTATACTTCTTTTGGGGTAGTGACAACTTTCGTGAGAAAAATCCCAAAGGCTGCCATATTTTATCTTGCCTTTTTTGCTGCAGTACAGCTCCGATCGCTTCATTTGAAGCATCTGTAAACAACGCTAGTTCTGCCTGTACATCTGGATGTGACAGAAGTGTAGCGTGAGTCAGGCTTTCTTTGCATTGATGAAAGGCACGCAACATTTTATCAGTCATATTTATAGGCGTGGCTCCTTTGTTCTTTCCTGTCAAGGCCTCATTTAAAGGGTATTGTAATTCTGCGGCATGAGGGATGAACCTCCGATAATAATTGACTATTCCTAGGAACCTTCGCAGTTGTTTAGCGGTTTTAGGTGGGTCGAGTTTGTGAATAGCTTCCATCTTTTCGGGCAATGGTCGTGTTCCCTCGGAAGACACGTGATAACCCAGGAAAGTAACTTCCGGTACTCCAAATATGCACTTAGATGTATTAATAAGTATGCCGTATTTCTTGAATCTATCAAACAGATTTTGTAAGTGATTTAAGTGTTCTTTCTCAGTTTTCGAGAATACCAGAATGTCGTCCAAATATCCGTGTACGTAGTCCATGCCCTGTGTAACCTCATCGATGAACCTTTGGAACGTTTGAGCTGCGTTCCTTAACCCAAAGTTCATGAAGGGGAACTCATACAGGCCGAACGGAGTGGTGATGGCTGTTTTGGGTATGTCGTTCTTCTCTACTGGAATTTGGTTATAAGCCTTTATTAAATCGACTTTAGAAAATATTTTTGCTCCGGCCAGCTGGTAAGCAAAGTCGTTGATGTGTCGGATTGGGTAACGGTCAGGAATTGTTCTCGCGTTAAGAGCTCGATAGTCACCACACGGACGCCACCCATCATCTTTCTTTCGCGCTAGGTGTAGCGGGGACGACCATGGGCTTTCCGATCGGCGCGCTGTTCCGTTAAATAGCATTTCTTCAAATTCCTTCTTTGCTATATTTAGGCGATCTGGAGCTAATCGGCGTGGACGTGAATGCACCGGTGGTCCGGGAGTTGTGCGAATATGGTGCTTTGTACTGTGTTTTGGTTCAATGGGAGCACCGGCAGGTCTTGTTATTTCTGGATATTGTTTTAGCAAGGTGTGGTATGGGGTGTTCCCAGATACTGCTTTAATAGAGACGATTTCTTCTTTAAGGCTGTTTCGATGTGCTATAGCCACGGAAAGGCTTGTAAGTCCATCTATTAGGCGATGGTGACGACAGTCTACGAGTAAATTGTAGTGGCTTAAGAAATCTACACCGAGTATGGGTTTCGTCACATCAGCCACGACAAACCTCCAGTTCAAATCCCTTCGCAGGCCGCAATCTAGATGAAGATGAATGTAACCATATGTCGATATAGTGGTGTTGTTTGCCGCGAATAACTCGAATTTTGTCTTCGTGCGGTACCCTGCGGTCGCGGTCTTCGGAAAAACGCAGAGGTCAGAACCGGTATCGACGAGAAATTCCATCTTCGTTTTCCGTTCTACGATAAAGAGGCGGCCGTTGCACTCATCAAGGCAGTCCTTCACCGCCACTAGTGACTGCCGTTGACATTTCCCTGCTGGAAACTACATGGCGTTGTGCATTTATATGCATTGCTTCCGAATTTATTGTGGTAGTAGCAGATACCATTCCTGATTTGAGATTTGGAACGAGATCGTGACTTTCTTCTATAAAAACGTCTCCCCTGTGGACGAGATTGTCTGGCACTCAATGCTGCCACTTGTTTAGTGAGCTCAGATATTTGTTTTGCCATGGCTTCCATTGCTATCCAAGTTTGATTGATAGAGGATGATGTAGAAGGGGCTACCTCTGAGATTTGAGGTGTTGGTGCTGCTACTGCTAGAATCTTATCAGCTAGTTCAGCCAATTTGTCCATAGGCATATCGGAGTGTGACGCGATAATCGGCTGTATGTTTGGTGGTAGCCTGTTATACCATGTCGTGCGAACAAATTCTTCTGGGATGTTTCGCCCAGCGAGATGCTGAAGATGGCGTAAAAACTGTGACGGTTTTCTGGTACCCATCTCTTCGCTGCACAGGAACTGTTTTATTTCCTCTTCACGAGGCGCCGAGAGTCTGCGGATCAGTTCACCCTTAAGAGTTTCGTATTTATTTTCTTTGGGTGGATTTTCGATTACTAAATTGCTGCATGCAAAATAAAATTTTGTGGTATCCGAATTTATCCCTGATAATACGAATTGTCCCTCTAGTTGGGCAAACCACAATGCGGCCAAAATGGTGGCACCTTAACACCGACACGAAATAATTCCATAGCTGGCTGCAAATTTTCAGTTTCGTCATTTTTCGTCGGGATTGTTTCCTTAGTTAGATTAGTATCTCGTGCCCTTGACATCTCTTTAAGGTAAGTAAATAAGTTTTCGTAAATGTAATTGGTACCTTTAGATCTTCTTTGCGTAGTCAGGGTCACCAGTGTAGCGGGTGGAAGGAACAGGGGAGATCTCCCGCCGGGCAAGGTGTTCTGCCCGGGGAGCGGCCAGCGCTCCGATTGGTAGTTCGGAGCTATTCTATATATCCTGCTTTAATTTCGGAACTTTGATAGCGCGATTTAGGCTTCGATGTGTTTCGCTTGTGGCGCGACGACAGCGCCGCCACAGTCTTATTGAGAAATATTTTTCTTGTACAAAATTAAAATATACAATATTACAAACTATAATAATAAAATAAACTAAAACTAGAAACTTAATTATCATATAGTCCTACTCACCGCGGTATCGTACTTCTTGTACTAAACTATGCTTCAAAAAAGCAGATACAGATTTCTTATTAACGATGGATTTTTTCGAATAACTTCACTAACCACCAGAGCTATGATAGCTTAACAGCTAAGCTATTATAGCTCTGGTGGTTATCATAGGTCTGGTGGTGGTCGCCCGTGTCATGTAAACACTGCTCTCTGTATTAAAATAAAAATTTAATGTTTATTTCGCGAAATATACAAAAAGTTTTCTTTATATCGTTAAAAAAAAGTGAAATATTATTGTGATAATATTATTCAAGTGTTTTGTGATAAAGAACTAGATTATTTTAAAAATAATAAGTAATACCGTGACTTTAGTTTAAGAATCTTAATGCAGTGTAATAGTTATCAACATACTTTTACTACTTGGACAATAGCGTAAAAATCTCATCATTCTAAGAACATATAAAGTGAGTGATAAGAATATTTTATGGGATTTCATAAATTAAAACAAACGTTCGTTTAAATTCAAATGAATATTGAACTTTGATCCTTTGAGAAGTTGTAGATCTTATTTTACGCACGACCTTAACATAGTTCTTGATATCATCTACGAGATGGCGCCAAACTGTGAAAACTGTGGCAAGGACATTATTGAAAAGCATTTTTCTTTTCAACTTGCGTAATATGTAGAAAATATTATCATTTAGATTGCACTAGGGTCTCTTATCAACGTTTTGTTTTAATGTCGCATGACAGAAAGAAAAATTATAAATGCCACACATGCCTTTCACCTTCATGTAATAAACAAACATCCCCAAGATCCGCCATCATTTCGCCAGAGCATCAAGACTATGTTACCCAACGTAATAAATATAAATTAAACGTCCATACGGCTAACTCCTTCCAAGAACTCTCTGATGAAGAAACAGAAGGTGATTACTCTTCTCTGACTTCAACCCCAATTAATACATTAAATAGAAGCTATACAGAAATACAACGAAATACACATTTTAAAATTAATGAATTAAAAGAGAAAACCCACAAGCTAGAAGAAAAACTGGAAATAGCGGAAAATGAAATTGAAAATTTGCTATCAGAAAATCAAATGCTAAGCAAACGAATTTCCGAATATGAAATAAAAATTAAACAGTTAACTTATATATGCAAATCTACGACGAAAAGAACTGTTAAGAAAAAGAGAGAAAAAAGTTTGACAAAAATGAAATTAGATTTTTCTCAAATAGAAGAAAATATAAAACTCCACGAATACCATTACACTAAACATACTAGAACATCTGTGCCAACTACCTCAGAAACAAATAATTTTAATCAAACAGAACAACAAATCGATGTAAACTCAAACTCTAACAGTATTCGTGAAACACCGATAGATGGCAGTAACATACACAAGCAAAATAAAAACAGATTTATTTACATTATTGGAGATGAGCAACTAAAGGGACTGTCAGCTTCACTTATAAGTACCAGGTACGGTAAGTGGAATGATGTCTTTATTCCCACGGCTTCAATCTTATCCGGAGGTACTAGTACAGATATATTAAATTACTGTGACTTATTCATCGAAAAATTGACAGATAATGACATTGTCATTTTAGGTATAGGCAATAATGACAAAGACATATATAAATTACATTCCAACATTTGTATAGCTTTAAGCAAATTAAGTAAAGTTTCCGTTTTTTTAACTCCTATATGCCGTAATCCTTATTTTGATAAAAAGAAATTAAATTTTAATCTAAAATTATGGACGAAACATTTTGACAATTTTAAAATGATCAATATGAATGACGAATATTTGAATGCATTTATTTTTATAAAAAACATTTGTAATAAAATTAATTTATGCATCGATTATATAGAATATAAAAAACAATTTTTAACTGTTGAAAATATTAAGAAATTTTTAAAAAGATCACCTACTATAATCAATGAAACAAAAACAAAAGAAAATAAATACTCAAAATTGCTTAGAAAAGGCACTATACCTTATTATTTTCATCTTATGTCCCAAAAACAAACAAAGAAAAATTTTAATCAATATAATAATATCCTAACTAATAACCATGTACCTAAAAAAGGCACAATACCTTTTTATTTTAGTAACATTACCAAAAAACAAAAAGTAAATACTCGAGATAACAACGAAAGCATTCAACATACGCTGAATTCTTTTCAAAGTAACAAGGACATGTTTTTTCCAAACAAATAACAAGTACTTTACAATTTTTCACCAGAATATACATGGATTACTCTCCAAAATAGAACTAATAGAAATGACCCTTTTGGAGATAAAAAACCATATTAATCTCGACTACTATGTTTTACCGAAACATTTGTGAAATCAGGTGAAGAAAAAAATATACTCATAAATAATTATGAGTTAGCTACATCATTTTCAAGATCATCTAAAAGAGGGGGTAGTTGTATATTAGTAAAAAAAGGTCTTGAATTTAAGAAAATAGAGTACTTCGATACACTTGCTATGACTTACCACTTTGAGTGTGGTGCAATAAACCTTATTAATAATAATTTAATAATTGTTTGCATATATAGAATTCCGTCAAAAATTAAAAGTCATTTAGAATATTTTTTTGATAAATTTGACTTACTTGTTAGTAAATATATATTAAAACATTCAAAAAAGAAGATAATTATTACTGGAGACATAAATATTAATATACTTGAACCCAGTCAATACACCAGGTGTCTTAAGGATATTGTGATGAAATATAACTTTCACTTTGATATAAAACAACCAAGTAGAGGCAAATCGTGTCTTGATCTTATTATAAGTAACATTGACGAAGCAATTGGATCTGTGCGTTCAATATGGCTGTCAGATCACGATACTGCACAGGTATTAAAGTTTACTGCGAAAAGTAACAAGAATATCACACCAAAATCAATATATACATATATTCGACACTATTCTGAAGAAAATATAGACAGATTTAAAAAATATTTAAAATGCATTTCATTTTGTAAAGTTTATAATCAGACTGATTTAAATACAGCGTTTGAAGAATTTTTTAGCCTTTTCACATTACTCTATAAACTATGTTTTCCTAAAATAAAAGTAAAAACCAAAACAATTACTAAACTAACATGGATATCCAAAGGCTTAAAAAAAAGTTGTAGAACTAAACGTAAACTTCGATATAAGTTTTATATGACTAGAAAAATTGTTGATCGAATTAAATATATGAATTACGATAGACTATTAAAAAATGTATAAACATTGCAAAAAGAACAACAAACAATAAATTTGTATTGAATAGTAAAAATATATGTAAAGCTACTTGGACAATTATAAAAAATGAGACTAATCGTGTATATACTAAAAATTACATAAATAAAATAATGAATAATGGAA